TCAAGTCTAAGTCAAAGTCAGTTCAAGGTTAACATTACAGAATTCAAGAATAATTATATTAACAGAGCTGCAAAAAGTGTGGTCCACCTTTACTTAAGAAAATTATAAATACCTGAAGAAGGACAGCCATTAGCTAGCTGCTGGAGGTAACAATGCTTCCCCCATTAAATTATTTTGAAACACTTTCAAATCATGAATGATAAAAAGTATTTTTAATAATTTTTTTAAGAAAAAAACTTCTTGTAAAATTGAGGAGGCACTTAAGGTCTGAGGAGCTAATGTACAACATGGTTACTATATTTGATAATGCTATATTGTATATCTGAAATTTGCTGGGAGTTTAGAAGTTAAGTGTTCTCAGCGACAACAAAAATGATAATATACAAGGTGACGGATGTGTTAAGTTGGTGGGATCCTTTCACAATGCATGTGTATATCAAATCATCAGGTTGGACACTTTAATTATATCACGATTTTATTTGTCAATTATACCTCAATAAAGCTGAAAAATACTTTAAATCATCTTTTAAAAACAAAAATATTTTGAGGGAGCATTTATACAGTAGGTCATCTTAAACAGCCACAACACAGTATCATATTTGAATTCTAGAAATCTAGATGCAGTGGGGAGGAGCGGTATCTCTATTGCAGCCACATCTAACTTACTAAGCAATCAAGACATCCCAGACAATCTTATATTAACAAAAATGCTGGTGTATGATTACTTGCTTCAACCTATGTTTCTAAGGTCTGACTCTGTACCATATGTGACTGATATCAAAGATATAGGTATTTACATAATATAATTTGTGAAGAACTATTCTTTTTCACTTTTCCCAGTCTTCTTAGATTTTTCTTTACCAGTCCAAATGAAGTGAAAAGTACACTTCTCAGTAAGTGACAGGAATATAATTTAAGCTCCCACCTTCTAATTGTTTTTCTGGTTTATTGGAAGTTTCTGATCAAAGCATCAGAACTCACTCACAATACTCCCTCAGGACATTCAGGATGATTAGGATGTAACTTCATTTAAAAGCTCACGGATGAACTGTACACTTTAACTGTGCAAACCGTATAGTATATCTCCATAAAGCCTTTAAAAAAGTGAATGGAATTGCCATCTTACTATTATAGTGGTTTCATTAATTTAGTCAAATACACTGAGGGGGAAATGAGCACCTCAGTGGTTATTACATTACTCTCAGAGGACTAAAATTTCGCTGAAATGAAAATACTAACCTAGTTCATACTTGCAGCAGCAATTTTCAAAATTAAATTTATAATCAAACCTTGTGGTCTCTTCCCCCTGAAAATCTTTGCTAATCAAATGACAATCTATAAAGGTAGTTTGAACCACATAAAGTTTTGCTCTCTAAAGAGAACAGAAAGAAAGATCTCCACCTCCGCCAGGACAAAGAACTACAAAGGACAACAAAGGTTTCCCTGAACAAACATTACTCAGAAAACAGAGACCAACCACAGCAGAAATTCTTAACTTGAATAAACAACAGAGATAGCAGTAGAGAACAAACAGCTAGAAGCTATTGTGGGGCTCAGCACACAACCAACCGCTTACAACTTATATAAACCTGGATTTTTAAATCTTGGATAGGAGTCAAACTATAAAGTGCATGAAAAAGACTTCCTGTTTGTCAAGGTGAGCTTACCTCTACTGCAAGTTAAGAAGGCAAGTTTCTATATAATATTAGTATGAATACAAAGATATTAGGTTTATTTTTCTGATTTTTAAATTTTTCAATTACAGTTGACACAGTATTATACTATTCTCAGGTGTAAAATGTAATGATTAAACATTTATTTAACTTCTGACGTGATCACTCCAATAAGTCTAGTACCCATTTGACACCATACATAGCTATTACAATATTATTGCCTATATTCCCTATGCTGTACTTTACATCCCGGTAACTGTTTTTATAACTGGCAATTTGATTAGTTTTTAAACAAAAAAATCATTTTCCATTTAAATGCCACTCATCTTAACGTATAACATGTGTAAAGTACTGTCTTCAAGCTGAACTGCTTTCCATGTGAACAAACACAAATTTTTCCTTAAGTCAATGAAAAACTTTGATCTAAGTTGCAGAAAACCACTTCACAACTAACATTTTTGTTGCTGCTGTTGTTGTTGTTTCATTAATCCTTACCTGAGGATCTTTTTTTCCATTAATTTTTAGAGAGAATGGAAGGAAGAGAGGGAGGAGGGGAGAGGGGTAGAGAGAGAAACATCAATGTGAGAGAGACACATTGATTGGTTGCCTCCCGAAAGGACCCTGACCTGCAGGGGATCAAACCTGCCCTTGACCAGAAATCAAACCATGACCCTTTGGTGCCTGGGCAGGTGCTCCAACCACTGAGCCACCTGCCAGGGCCATAACCAACTTCTCAATCTGTAATTTGGCACTTAAATCCAAAGAGTGTTTTTTAAAGCGGCACACAGGAAAATAGTGTTTTATCAAGCTTCTCGCACACTCCTTAAATTTCCCACAATTAATCCTTTTTAACTCACAAGGAATTATTATAACAGCAATACAAACAAATTCTAAGTAACTACCAGGAATCAATAAAACTCCTTCTATTAAAGGATGAAATATATGTGAATAATTTCAATGCAAAATCAGCTGTCTTCCTTTCATTTGAGATAAAATGGAAGAAAGGGCCAATTCAAAATAATGATTAGGAAATACTTTTGAAAAATAAAAAGATTTTTCTATTTTAATTTCAGGGGGGAAATGGGCTAATTGGCATTGCATGCTTAACTTTGACTTTAATTAGTGATAAAATTATCAAGTGTACTAAAGCAGAAGGAAAACACTATAATAATAACTATTATACTATTAACTTTGAAGTAGCTGTTTACTATTTCATTTACAAACTAAGGTAGGAGTTAAAAAATGCCAGGTATGTACAGGACAATAACATACAAACTATACATATATTCATTCAATATTTGAATACCTTCTACACTGGAGATGCTGTTCATACATTATTCATATGTTAAACACAAATATACATAGGTGTTTAATTTAGTACCTACCACAAATAGATAGGTGCTTAACACATGCACACTATGATAGCATGGTAGTTACAGATAATGTGGTTAACTTCAGCAGACAACATCTGTGTTACACATATGGCCATCAAAATAATTGTGGCATGCTTTTGTGATACTAAAAGAGGCCAAGCCTGTTGCAAAATGATCACTTCCAACAAAAGCCTGCTTAAATTGTTGTTTATTTAAATGGCATCTATCCACAATAACAGCATTATAAAGTTGCTATTGCATTTGAAACACTCACCGATTTTCAACCTATTTGTAAAACAAGGTAAGCACCATCAGCTTACAGAAAGTAATTGTGGACCAGGATTTTTTATTCATGTTTCTTTGACAAAATTATTCCATTTGATCCCAAGTCTTGGCCGCCCTCTTGACAGAATAATGTACACGCTCCACAGCTGACAGGAGTACTGCTTTCATGATTAAATAAGAAGCTCATACTCCAGATGACTTTAGACTTTGCACTTCAGAAAGATTTCTTTGTTGTTTTAGTATAGGACCATCAGTTATCTTTTTCTGTTTCTATCCCCAAGCCAAAGAGAGTCTATGGATTATCAAAAATTTAAGATGTTTTTTGTGATTTTTGCCTATTTTATTTGCACAGTACACTAAAGAAAGTCACATGGTCTTATAAGGTAAGTTCTTTTCCTGATTTCATTTGGAGGTATTTTAGAACATAAACAAAAGTTGAAAATATAAAATGAACACCTCACCCCAAAGTCTTTTATTGGCCTTCAAGGAAACTGCAAATGAAAATATGATTGACTTTTGCTTTTTATTATTACTGGGGGACAAAATATTCAAAACACTTTTCTAAAGGAAAGGGTTAAGTTTCTCTTGTGGCTTTAACTCATCATTTTCACCCTCTTTTCTTGTAAAATAATGACACCTGTGAAATTAGAATTCTGTACACCAAGAATGGTAACATCAAAGCCGAAGCTCTGGCCAGGAACAGTTACCCTACTGTACACAAAGCTATGTAGAAACCGATTCCCATAAGGAAATGCCCAGGGCCTACGCCATTAGGATTAACTTCTGAGATGACAAGACTAGGAAAGGACACTTGCCAGGCTGAACTTGATTTCCCAGACGCCCAGCTCTACAGGGGAGGGGGGGAGCGGTTTCCCTCCACGAGACTCAGCAGCTGGTTTATCTAAAATGCCTGTGATTTAAAAGTGAAGGAAGCAAAACAAACCGTTCCGATTCCTGTCACCTCTTGGTAGTTACATAGTTGCTAGAGCAAAAGGAGCACCAAGACGCCTCCCCAGGTTGTGGACTCTAACATAAAAACCCAACAAAATTAAGGAAGTGCATCTCTGCAATCTCCCAGCCTTTTTGTTCGGGTTCTCTGGGTTAACAGTAGTAACTGCATTTTAACGACCTACAAACAGAAGCAAAGTTATTACCGAGTCGCTCTGAGCGAGGTTTACTTAAAGGTAGGGAGCAGTTGGCCTGCAGAGAGGGAAATTATTTTCCGTCCTAACGAGCAATACCCAACCACACGGCCGCACAACACCATCACAACCGCCTAATAAATGTGTTTCAACGCGTGAACTCCTTTACTGCCCCAATGACACTATCCAGAAAAAGCCAAGGGGAATCGTGCCTTGGACACTACGCTGCCCGCACATTCAATTTTGTGCCTCTTCGGGGGCCGCAGAGGAGGCCTTAGATGCTTTGGGAGGTAACCGGTGTCGAGAAGACTCCTGGTGCGTGGACTGCCCTGTGAGATATCAAACTTACTTTCCTTTACGAAGGGACTCAAAGTTAACGCACAGTGACACGTCCACCCTCTACGTGAGCGCAGGCGGCAGCCCGGGGACTCGGTCACCACCGCGAACCGCGACGGCGCTCAACAAAGCCGCGGACCCCCGCGCCCGCCCGGCCGCGGACCCCCGTCACGCCCCCATCCCGCGCCTACCTTGATGCCCTGCTGCTGGGTGGTGAGGGTTAACTTGGACTCATCCAGGAGCAAAACTTCGCAGTAAAATTCTTCCGGAACAGCGCAGAAACAGCCCATGTCGGCAGTGGCCCGTCTCCAGCCAGGCGAGAAAGCTGCGACCCAGGCGCTGAGCCGCCCCCTCCCCTCAAACGCGAGGCATTAATTTACCGTCCGCGCCGCGGCGAGGGGGCAGGAGCAGCTCCCGGCCGGTCCAGGGCCGCGCGGGGGGAGGTCAGGAGGGAGGGGAAGCGGGAGATCAGCGCCCGGGAGCAGCCGGGGAAGCGCCTGCGGAACTGGGTGCGGAGGGCGGCGGCGCGTCCCCGCGCATCCTGCGGCTCCCGCTCCTCCGAAGGCGTGGACGCCGCGGCCCCTCCCGCAGTCCTGGGAACGACAAAAGTCTCCTGGCAATGGGGGCAAGAAGCAAGAAAAGGGAGAGGCGAGAGCTCGAGGCCCTCCCCGGACTTGGAAGCTCCTTGGAAGCTCCTAGAAGCTCTGAGGACCCCTCCACACGTGCACTTCCGAAGCGCGGCCGAGACGCACCGGCCTCCCCCTTGCCTGCGGAGCCCCCGGAGGGCGCGCACTTCCAGCTCCGACCCCACCTCGCAACCCCCCGTCGAGTCTGCTGAATGGGGAGCGCTAGGTCGTTCCTTTGTGTTAGGGGCACCCACGACGACCCAGCAACACTGCAGGGGCAGTGGCGGAGATCATCCCTTCCCCAGTCCGCGTGCACCGAGAAGCCCGAAGACGGTCGGAAAGGGCAGCGGGCTCCTACCGAGGCGGGTGAGTAGAGGTCAGCTTGTCTCGGAGTGTAGCTCCAGTCTGGGGAGCCCCGCGCTCATCTCGGGGGGGCCTGTGTAGGGCCAAGTTCACGCTCTCCCTCCGAG